GAATCTGCCCCCAGAGCCTGTTCTGCCCTTAGAGGCAACTTCATCTTCTGAATTGGACTTGCCTCTGGGCACCCAGTTTTCCCTTGAGGACCAGATGCCACCCTGGAGCCAGACTGAGCTCCCCTCCAAGCAGGTGTTCTCCAAGGAGGAAGCAGGACAACCCTCAGAAACCCCATAGCCAGCCAGGGCTCGGACAAGCCCTTGAGAGACCCTGAGACTTCCCGATCTTCAGGTTCTAAGCACAATATACAGAAAGCAAATGGCAAGGTACTACTAGGGAGATCTCCCCTCACAATCCTACAGGATGACAACTCCCCTGGAACCCTGACACCACGACAGGGTAAGCGGCCTTCTCCCCTGAGTGACAATGCTAAGGAGCTAAAGGAAGGGGCCATTCTGGGAACTGGATGACTTCTGAAAACTGGAGGCCGAGTGTGGGAGCAGGGCCAGGACCAGGACCAGGAAAATCAGCACTTTCCAAAGTTGGTGGAGAACTAGGCCGAGTATGGCCCCAGCACTGGCTTCACCGGGGGCCTAGTGATGTTGCATCCCCTCAACCCCATCTTTCCCTGGGAGACTGGAAAGGCTTATTGTCTTCAACCCCCCCTTAAACTCCCAGCTCGGGGACTGAACGCTTTCTTGGGCTCTCTGTGTCTTATGTGTTTCTTGTATATTAAAGAAAGTGGTTTTTAAAAAACAAAACAAACAAACAAAAAAACCCAAAGGTGTTGAAGTGGAAAGAGCTTGCACATGAGGAAGTGAAACAAGCAGTACAGCGTGGTGGTGAAGAGTCCAGGTTCCAAAGTAAAATGGCCTGGATTTGAATCCCAGCTATACCCTCCACTTGCTATGTGACCTTGGATAATTTACATAACCTCTCTGGACCTTGGTTTCCCCATTTATACCTACCATGTAGGATGTTTGCGAGGAGAGTAACTGTTCAATAAATATTAGTTTATTATTATAATAACTGGTTAAACTAGAATGGTGCTACAGGTATTGGAGAGGTATGCAGGGCCATAATATCATGCAGGCTTCTAGGCTCTATTATGTACCTCTGAAACAAATAATACATTATATGTTTAAAAAAAAAGAAGAAGAAGACAGCAGGAAGGGAAAAATGAAGGGGGAAAATTGGAGGG